CAACCCAATCACTGTAATGATTCCAAATGACAGCAGCATTGTGCCCATGCCAGGCCCACTGCTGGCCACATCAGGGATCTTGGTGCTGTTAAAGCTGGTGGTCTCAGGGCTTATGGTAGCTGTTTCTGGCACAGTCCTATCCACAGTTGTCCCTGGATCAGGTTCAGAGGTGGTAGTGCTGCTGTGGTACAAATTATGTACAGAGGATGTGCTGTAACTCATCCTGGACAAGAGTCCCACCTCCTCTTGCACTGAACTGTTGTCTCCACCTACTTAAGACTCTTCAGTTTCAGTTAAAAAGCATAGTGTCTTCTCTACTATCAAGGAAACTCATGTCAAAGTTACTCTGTAGCATTTTCTTTGATGGACCTCCTTCATAGGAAACTTCCTGGCTTCTTCCTGTGCAAAAGAGACGCAGACAAAACTTTATTGATATACAGATGTTCTGTGAAAGTCACAGAGATAGTCCTGGCCATTACATCTTCCAAAGCAGTCATTTATTTGGAAAATGATGTTTAGAGTCTTTCAGGATACCCAAATTAAGATAAGGGCCAATTTTTCAAAGGTACTGAGCATGTCTACATGAGATGCTTTACTGTGCAGGAGACTAACTTGCTGTGCTGCTGGATAGTCCCACCAGATAAGTGGTATCTGGCATCACAGTAAATTATTGCACTTAAATGCATATGTAGATAGTGACATTTGGATTAGTTTACTCTGGCTCAAATTGACCCAGAGTATATTCAGTCACATTAATTGTTATGTAGACATGCCCATTGAGCACCCTGCAATTTCAGCTCAAGTCAGTGGGAGCTGTGAGTGTTCATTTTCTCAAAATCGGTTGGTGAGAGGCCTATGGGCCTCACCCACAACTGGTAAAGAAACAGTTAATTAGGTAGCCGGCCACTGCCCAGCCAGGATGCAAGCCTTGCTAGGGCTACAGATAAAAGGAGGCCAACCACAGAGTCTGTGTTCTATGTCAAGGAGCACTACACATCCTCTGCCAGCAGA